CAATTTCTTCTTTTTCTTTCTTCCTTTCATCTTTGCCAATAACATCTATAAAGTCTGAAAGATGTCTACTCGAAGTCAGAGAAAATGCTTCCTCTTCTAGTAACTCCCGAAAGCAGTCAATCTTATTTAATGGAACTCCTACTTTCATAAATGATCTAACAACCTTAACTCTGTAAACTCTGTGTGCAAGAGATAAGCTCTCACCCTTCGGGTGAAACTGATTATCATACTCCTCTAAACTCTTTGCAATGTCTCTCTCCCTTGCTTCCTTCTTTTCAAGGCATTCTTTTCCAGAAGCATGCTTTGAAGTTTTCACATGAGTCTCTATTATTGTCTTTTTGAGAGCAATTTCTTTGCGACAAGCATTGCAAAACAGTTGACCATTTGACTTCGAAACGGTAAAGTTTTCACCTGGAAACTCTGTAAGTCTGGCAGAAGCTGTCACATTTTTTGGGTTAGACTTTGATTTAGGTGGATGAAAGGATTTGCCATGTTTCGGGAGATTGCATTGCACCTTCCTCTTCCTTGCTAGATCTGACGCTGTTGGGGATTTAAGTCTGTTTAGTATTGTGGACGTAGCTGATGCCTCTCTCTCTCGACTCTCTTCCACTAGCACAACTTCATGTGCTGATAGTTCGGATGGTTTACCCAAATAGGCACTGGAAGTTGAAGAACTAGCGTAAGTAGCTTTGCCGTCTTCCGCCATTTTGGAAATTGGAATATATTAAATGAGTCCCAGACTCCCAGTTGCCCAACGTGGCCACGTCCGTTTCCTGTGGGGAAGGGCAGTCTAAGCCCTAGTCTATTGTCACAAATTTCTCCACAGGAAATCAGGAATCTCAATTTCGAGATTGTACCTAACTCTGATGTATTTATTTTCGATATTTTGACATATTTTCGGGAATTTTTCTTACTATTATGCTGGCATAATGATCGATGCTGATTCCTCACTATTATGCTCAAAATTATGCCGGCATAATGTGGACAACGCTAGTCAACGTGAGTTGAGGTGCCAGGTGAAATTTCTTTAATTTGATTATTTGTTGCCTCTTCGGTCCGGGCGATATCCAGATCGGTATCAAGCGTGAGAGTGGCGTCCTTGTCCAGGAGTTTGGTTTGTGTACGCTTGGAGTTAGATCCAAAAACAACAGCGTCGATGATGTGCTCATCAGGTTTCATAAATCGACATTCTTCGACCAGAATTCGAATTTTCTTGACAAATGAATCCACTGACTCACCAGGATGTTGCTTCAGGGTCCTGAGTTTGTATCTTGACAGCCGAAAGTTGCTCTTTGGAGACAAAAAGCTCTCAAAGCGAGTCCAGTAGGTTTCAAGTTTCTTTTCTTCCTAGCTAGACAAGGCCCACGTGGAAACTAATTCGTTGTCATTGTCAGTAGTAAAATGAGCTAGTATAGCGGAGAGCCAATCAGAATCGAGTATTTTAAAAATGGACCAATCAGATCGCAGGATTTTCACATTCCATTCTATCGCCATTTTGAAAACCGCGGAGGCGCCTGAGCACGAAAAAAATACATAAAAGACACGTGTGGTATGATTTTAAATTAGGAAAAAAATGCGTGTAACACGAAGACGAAGACGAAGACGACGAAAGCGAAGTCAAGCGGGTGGCGCTTCAGCGAGTACGGTTCGTAGGATATTACGTAGAGGACCGTCTTTACAGGACAAGATAGCAGCGGGTGGGAGTATGTTTTTATCAGGACCATCACCTTTTGGGAAATTGGGATTTCTTTTAGGAAAACAAGCATTAAAGGGGATTAAAGACAATGTACTAAGATAAAAATACAATAAAAGAGGTTTTATTTACAACATTTTTTGGTGCGGATTTTTTTCAGTCTTTTAGCAGATGGTTTTGCTGTTTGTCCAGTTGTTTTTGGAGATAGTTCCCTCGAATCCTGAGTGTAGTGGTGTAGTTGTACATCATCTTATTGATTTGGTTGGATTTTGTGGTCCATTTTTCGATGTTTTCTTTCCTTTCTTTGATAAGATGCAAGCTTTTTTCTGTCCTTTCAAAGAGTTGCATGAGATCTTCGATGATTTGGTTTGTTTCTTGAATGAGATGAAGTATTTTTTGTTTTTCTTCTTGATCCATGTTTACGAATGAAAGAAGAGTGTGATTAGTGGTTGAATTTATAGGAAAAATCGTGTAAAAGATGTCAATATATCTTTTTTTGTCAGTTGTAACAATGGCAGATCGCGTGTCGTTTCCACCTGTCAAGAGGGTATTGACATTTTCACTGACAGATAGTGCGTCTAAAGTGGGTAAATCCAAGAAGAAATGATCTGTGACAATGCCGGAGGAATTACCGTTCGCCTTTGTCACGGCCCGCCATCTTGGATTACGTCATTGAATATTGTACATGAGGTCGAGGCCACGCGTGGTAAGTTCACAAACAAAATGGCGACTAGTAGCGATAGCGTTGAACTCGAATTTTGGCACAAAAATATAACAAAAATACCCAAAGTTACAAACTCTTTTGTTGAGGATTTTGCTGAGAAGAACCTACCGATCAAAGCCACTGTAACAAGAGGATATAAATTCTTTCACGAAGAATATATTCACGATATTGAAGGTGAGCCTCGTTGACCTCGTGGTAGCTTTCTTTGTTTGACTGTCTTTCCAATATTTTGTTTCTGTGCTCAGTGTTTTGAGTTTTAACTCTTTTTTCTCGGTTTTTAACAGTAAAACTTTGCAAGGAAGAGGATTCAGGAGTAGTGGCTCGGGCTAAATGCTTCAGAAGTATGAAAAAGAACGAAGATCCTCACAAGTTGTCTGTTGTGTTCGAGAGCTCCTCTATTGAGGCTAGCATCAACAAGTATATGTGTAGTTGTGCTGCTGGACAAGGTCTTTGCCATCATGTTCTTGGATTGCTCTATACTCTTGCCCATTTCCAGCTATTAGGCTTAAAAAGTGTCCCGCCAATGGTTTCTAAAACATCAAAGGCACAGGTAAAATTTAATAATAATAATAATAGATTTGATGATAAACAATAAGAAAAAACAGTCATTAATGTATAGAGATTTGACTGTATCTTACCAATATTTTTCCTTAAAAACTCCTTTTAATCACACTGCTGTTTTTAAACATAACACAATAAGCAATTTTGAATTCATATAGTATATTTGTATATTATTTTTTTGCAGAGATGGCATATCCCCAGTCGTAAAGAGGGCATTAAAGCAAGGCCAGTGACAGATTTGATTATACAAAAGTCAAAGCCAAAAGATAAATTGCATGAACCTAAAAAGAAGAGAAAGGTGTGTGGTGTGGCAAGCACGATCTACAAACCCTTCCAGCAATCATTAAGTAGCCTTGACTTGACTAGTGTGCTGTCGCCACAGTTTGAAAATCTCAACAATCAACCTGGATTTATGAGAATATGGGAAGATGAACAAAGTGAGCCTCCAATTTTAGTAGACTCGGCCTTTGGAAAGGTGCCAAAAGGCTGTGTCATAAGCTATCAACAGCCATTGAAAGTTAAGAGCAATATTAACATACAGCTACCTGCATTCAACTTTCCATCTTTAAGCTATCCAGATACAGTGCTCAATGAAAAACAAGACCTTTTCTTCAGCTCCCTTGCAATATCAGGTCAACAGTCTATTGACTTTGAAATGGAGACAAGGGAACAGTCAACTACAACAGCATGGCATGAACTAAGGAAGTTTAGGCTTACAGCTTCAAATTTCAAAGATATATGCTCAAGAAGAAAAGACCATGAAATCCTTTCTACGCGTTTACTAAAGGGAAAAGTAATCCAAACTGCAGCCATGAAATATGGGATACAAAATGAGGGGGTAGCTGCTGATATGTACAAAACACAGTTTGGCAGAGACACTCACCTAGTAGGTTTTCTTATAAACCCATGTCTCCCACACCTAGGCTGTAGCCCAGACAGAAGAGTGTTTGACGACACTGAACAACATCCATGGGGCCTGATAGAAATAAAGTGCTCTCCAGCAAGTCATCTGGATAACCTTCAGTATTTAAAGTTTAATGAACGAAATGGGTCATATTCATTGAAGAAGACACACAAGTATTATTATCAAGTTATGGGATGCCTTGGTTTAACAGGAAGTCAGTGGTGCGATTTCTTTGTTTACTGCAAGGACGAATTTCACTGTGAACGAGTATATTTTGATGAACTTCTCTTTTCTGAAATGCTGGACAAACTGAATTTATTTTTTTTTGATTATCACCTGAATACATGTGTTCAATAATTTATTGTATGTCTCTTATACAAAATAACTTCGTGCCTAAGTAACAAGCTAATTGTGTGTGACAAAGTTTGGTGGGAAGTGGAGTAAAGACATTTGAATCAGCATTCTTAAAATGTTAAAATGTAACAAGTCAAACCTAATTAGACTCAGAACTTGTTCTAGTAATTATCATTACACAGCTGTTTGCAGAAATTATTGCCACAACTTTAAAAACATTGGGTTCATGATTGGTAATTTAATAGTTTTTGTATTTTTTCCAAAAATACAATACTTATGATAATTCAGTTTCATTTAAGCCTATATGTCTGTAATATATTGTAAGCGCCATAATTTTTACAAACAGCTGTACATATTTCATTGTTTATCATGCATTCAAATACTGTGACTAAGTTGGGTGTATTTCAAGCCATTTAATAGTTTTTTACTGTTATTAAACAGAACATTCTGTACAAACATGATAAATAAAAATACATGAATGACTTCAACAGGTTTTGTATTTAAACCCCAAAAGGGCATTTTTATAATATTTGGCAATAATGAAATTTGTGAATAAATGTAAAGTTATTAAATTCATAATTTTTTTTTCCAAAAAGCTAGTTTGAAAGCTTGCATTGAATCTGTAAAACAAAAATAGTACTAACAATATAATTTTTACTGATTTTACTGTTTATTTTAATGCCTAACCAATATGCCATGTACATACGAAAAGGGTGCCCCTAGGGGATAGGGCCACCCTACTATTCACCCTTCCACATCACATGTTAACAGATGGCATAGTTCTTACCTAGGTTGGACCTAATACGTAGTGTACCACGGCATTTAGGATATAACAATTTAAAACACTTAGGCATATGTTTGTCAATTTTTGCCCGAGAGGGCCATATAGGAATGGTTCCCAAAACAAAATAGAGAAAGTTAACCCAAGAAATAAAAACTCTACTCACAGTTGAAATAGAAATATCAAATTCACTGGCTAGTTTCTCATTAAAAGTACCCAGCCTCAGCTTAGTAATGCATAAATAAAACTGATCAAATAAGCTAAGTTTGCATGTCTTGAGAGTGTCTCTCATGTTACTTATATCTTTCCCACTTTTTGCTCGTGCTCTCTGTACTTGGGACCATGAAAACATACTTTCAGCTGTGGGTCTAAGGGCATTGAAGGTACTCACAAAAATAGCAAATGACGAAAAGCCAGTATGGAATCTAACGCGTTTGTCTGACATCCCTTTCAGTTGTCTGTAAAAAGATTGTTTTGAAAGCAGCTGTTCTAATTGTTCGATACGAGCTTGCGCTGCCTCAAGTAGCTCTTCTACAGGCTTTTCGGGTTCAGTAAATAAATAATCATGTAGGTTGACAGTAGGTGTTATGATTGTGGTGTCAGTAGTTACGGTGGAGTCCTCCATGTGGCTGCTTGTATCGATGACATTTTCGTCTACGCTTGAATCTTCGATGGGCCCAATTTCGACTGTGGGAATGTAGAAAATAACATGTTTAGAAATATTTAGGGCGGGCCTAAAGTACGATTTCATAAAAAATAAATACCTGTAGAGGAGATTGGCTGTATATTATCCACGACATCAATCTCGGTTGTGTTAGTACGTGTTGTGCATTCGCGTTTCGTTGGTGACTTTCGTTTCTTTGATAAAGTTGTCCATTCAAAAACGGATGGTACAGCACCATTAACGAGTACACTTTTTCCTGTTAGCGTTTTTTTTATATCTGTGGGTTTAAAATGATCAGAGCAAACTCTTGTACTGTTGGTTATCTGAAAGATATCGGAAAAAATATAAGGTTTGCTATATAAACAACGCTGAAACGACGCTAAACTGAACTATGATATATAAAAGGCCATTTACCTTGAAGGACCGGCCGACATCACGCTTAATTTTTATAATCCACTGTCTTCTTAAGTCTTTGTCTTTCGGGAATTGATGAAAGGTTATATTAGACTGCACTTTTGATCTATTGTTATTGCACTTAGGAACACAACAGTGATCTTTGTTCCGCATGATCGCTCGAGTGTTCAGTGTGTCAAGAACCACGCGTGACCTCGTTTTCATGCCAAAAAGCATTACGTCATTTTCAAGATGGCGATACCGTGACAAAGGCGAGTTGGGAGCTATTTCTGATACAGTACCTTTGGTGGATAATTCTTCAAAGGGGATCACTTATGAAAGCCATAAGAAAGTTGAAACTTGCAAAAAAAAAGAAATTTTCAAAAAAGAGGAAACCATCTCAGTCTCAGACGTTGAAGAGGAAGAAAGTATCAGTGAAAAAGATGATGAAGAAGTCTAAAAAGGCTCAGGAAGGGTTGGTTTTGAGTAAAAAAACGACATTGAACAGTTTAATATCAAGAATGAATTTTGCAAAAGTACCACTAACACAGTTGTTGTCAAAATAAAAAGATTGTTTTTTATTTGAAAAAATGTGTTTTTTACAAGTTACAATAGATCCAAATATCTATAATAATCATCTGCCGAATCGAAAAACATGTAACCTTCCGTTTTTATTACGTGAAAAATAGGTGTGAAAAATGGATTGAAATAGGGGTCGTTATAAAGCAATGTAACGTGATTTTTTTTTAAATAATTGAAAAAAACCCCGTAGGTAATAAGAGAAATTCTAAAACGGAATGGTAATTTTGACTTGTTCCATGTACAACTTTCCATTCTACTTTAGGACCTTGTTCATGAATGATTAACCTGACGGCGTTACATAATTGAGTACCATCATAATGATCAGGCATTTCTACATGGAGTTGAATTGCATATAAAAAGTCTTTTTTTTCTTTCAAATTAATCTTGAAACCGAACTGAAAAAAACAAAAAAGGAACTAGATAACTACTAGGTACTTAGTGATTTCAACTCTTTCTTCATGATATGGTTGACACACTTCAAAATGAACTTGAATAGTAAATATTTCAAACAAATCATAGATAGGAAGAGGAAGAAAATGATATAAAAGTCTTCTAACGTTTCTTTCTATGATACTTAAATCTATAATGGAATCATATGTAGGTCTATTTAAATAGACATGAATCGTGAGTGAAGTTCGTGTGTCTTGATTTTCGAATATGTCGTTATCGAGATGATCAATAATTTGTTGAAAAACAAGCAGAAAACTTCTTTGAAGCACGAAATCGAACTGAAAAAAATCAAAAAAAGACAGAAAGTTGTTCAAAGTTGATTTCTAAGACTGTACCCAGAGAAATAGGATTGACTGTATTATAGCAAATAAAGTAACTAGGTGTATCAGATTCGTACAACGAAAACCATAAATCTTGATCAAAGGCCTAGATAAAATGTTCAGAAATATCTAAAAAGTTTTTATTATCGATCATCTGAATGATTTAATGTAAAAGCATTCATTTCATTTCGAAGTTGTGTTTGAGTTGCTTCGGAATAGCGACGAGTTGTTTCATGTAAATGATATGCAAAACATTGATATCCTTGTATGACGTGAGTAGCAACCTAAAACGAAAAATTATTATTGTTATTAACGTGAAAATAATACATATAAACCAGCAATTCAGCTTGTTTTGGTGCCTAGGAAAAAAATATCTTTTGTTACTGACGACGATATAATAATCTGGACATGGAATATAAATATTCAAAGATGCTGTTCAATTGAAAATCGTCTTCTTAGAAATCAATATCAACCATCCTATCGCGATATTGTACATTTATGGTTCTCATGAACTAATAAAAAATGACGATCGGAATGGAATTCGCAACGTAATAAGAATTTGAGTAATTCTTTTAAGATCAGGTCGTGAGTCTAAAAAAAGAAGAGAAATGAAAAAATTAAAAAGTATTTAATAGTTCTAATAATCTTTCGTGAAATTGTTCCAATAAAGCTTGACTACTAATATGTAAATGAAATATTCTATTGGCTCTTTCTAATTGCCGTTGCATCCATGTAGGTTCATGACGTTCAGCGTCATATGAAACGTACAACGGTGCGTAATTTCGGATTCTTTCTCGCACGTTTATCGTTGTTTGTTCGGCCGTCATCATATAAGACATCATCATTTTTATTACCAAATTAGGCATCTACGGGAAGAAAATTTGTTTCTCAATTGGTAAGGTGATCTGTATCAGAGTAGATAAAATAATATCGAATTATGAATTCATCCTCTCTTACCCATTCTAATTGGTTGTCCAATGTGGGAGAATCAACGAGTTCTCGAAGACGTCGAATGACCTCTTCCCTCGTCATGTTGAGGACATCGTTTGCAATGCGCTCCGTATCCAT